AACCTGTTTCATAGATTCTATTTCTTTCCTAAATTGTTTATTCAGGGGTTCCATCATTTTTATATTCTCCTCTATTTTTTTGTCAGTGTATTCTTTTTTATTTATTTATTTATTTATTTAGTGTGTATGTAGCCAGCTCAGCCCACCAGGGGGCGGGGCTGGCTGGCATGTGGTGCTGGGGGATTGAACCGCGGACCCTGTGCTTTGCTCAGCTTGTTCCAAGTAGGTGCTTTAGACCACTGAGCCATGTCACCAGCCCCTGTCAGTGTATTGTTTAGAAGCATTTAATACTTCTTTGATTATAGTTACCACTACATTTTTTAGATCCGAAATTATTTCTTGTATACCTTTCTGCAGTTGATTCTTTACTGTCAGTGTTACTATTTCAGAGATATCTGGCATGTGATTTCCAGTTTCCTCAGTGCTAGTGTCTTCTGCATTTGTACTAAGTGGACTTGGGGCCTGAGACTGCATTTTGTTCCTTCTCTTTGTCATTTGTATACCACTGTCTTCTGACCTTTGGTGTAGAGCTTAGATAGAGTTATTACCTTAGCACCAGGTCTGGATCTACGAAGTTCAGATTCCTCCAGGTGGATGTTGTTTGGATCTGGGTGCTGTGCTCCACTTCTTTCTGCTGCAGGCGTTAGAGTTGAACCCTTTGTGTCTCTCTGACAAGATGTTCTGCTCCTGAATCAGCTGGGTGGGTCTTGCCTCTAGCCTCTTTGCAGGGAGTTCTGCTGAGGGGTTCCGTGCTGGGCCTGCGCTCTGGGTCTATGTAGGATCCCGTGGGCCGGGTTGTCTCACTCACTCGCCGGGCCTGCACTCTGGTCTGTTCAGGATCCCGTGGCCCGGGTCGTCTCACTCACTGCAGGGCCTGCGCTCTGGGTCTGTTCAAGTAGATTCTTGAGAAAGGGTGCACAAAAGTAAAAATTTGGGAGCCTTTGCCTTTACAACAGTATTTAAGTTCTATGACCAGCGGTATTGGTGGGCATAGCATTGAGATTTTAAAGATAAAATCTTAGTGCATGCGTGTGTGTGTGTGTGTGTGTGTGTGTGTGTGTTTAGTGCCAGGGCCTTGTGCATTCTGCCAGTGAATTACATCCCTAACCCCACTTTTTAAAATTTTAACTTCATCTTTGAAATAGAGACTCTGTGCCCACGGAACCAAGTGCAAAAGGAACCAGGGAGTCTCAGTGCCAAGGGAGTGTGTCGGTGGCACGAGGGGGCTGGGGGAGGGATGTGACGAAGCTTCTGTATCACACGATTATAACGCAGTTACCATAATTTCTCTGCATGAAAATTCATACCAGCAGAAGATAAAAAGTTCAGTTTATAGGTAAAAACAGTTTAAAACATAAAAATTAAAAGAATTAAAAAATAGAAAAAAGTCTACAGCGAAATGAATGTCTTCTTTTTTTCTCTCCTGAGCCTCCAGTGCTCCTTTCTTGAAGAAACCACTTTCTTAATTATTCTTCTCCTGAATCACTGCTGAATATCTAAATCTTTGGGGCTAAAATTGAGCAGAAGAGAAAATAATTTAAGCCTGCCAGTTATTGTCTGACCAAGCCAAGTCTACTGTTCCTAGAGTATATCAAAATATGAAATCTGTCAATTCCGGTACTAATTTATTAAAATTATTTTTCCTGCAGTTGGCAAACATGAATTGACTGGGCATAAAGTTGCTGTGAAGATACTCAATCGACAGAAGATTCGAAGCCTTGATGTGGTAGGAAAAATCCGCAGAGAAATTCAGAACCTCAAGCTTTTCAGACATCCTCATATAATTAAACTGTAAGCTCTATTTATATTAAATATGTTCTTGTCATCTTTTTATCACTTTTGTTAACTTACCTAATGTGACAAGTGAGAAAGACGACTGATGATTCCTCCTGTTTCCAAAGGGCTTCGAAGTTTCTTCCTGCTTATGTATTTATCTAACACTGTCAGAAATGCCTTTTTTCCTATTTTTGTATTTATCTAATGTCATTAGAAATGCTTATTTTCATGCCTTAACCTTGTGCAAATCCCCATTATCCTTCTCATTCTGTCCTGTCTCCTGGGCAGATGCCCTTCAGATAGATAGTGTTATGCTTTTATTCCTGTAGAACCAGCAGTTGATTTGCTAGCAAAAGTTCTCTACGTGCCTATTCCTGTGTGCTGTCAGTTAGCCTCAGTACAGAATGCACTAGAGGCAGTTTCCCCATGCTGCTTATATCTGGTCATACAAATAAAACTTCAGGAATCTAATGTTTTAATAGGGCCATAATCTTACTGTTTTACAGTTGCTTGGTAGGGTTTACAGATAGCTTATATATTACTTAGCTTCGGCCTTGTCACGCAGCTGCAAAGCCGCTGAGACATTTCTGTTGCGCTGGCTAATGGCTTCCCATGTATTAGAGTGGTCTTAAGTATGACACGGTGATGATCCCCACATGCACATTTCCTGCTTTGCATCCTGTGCTCTACACCCTGGACTCCTGTGCCCGCTGCTTACTTTCTGTCTCCACTAGATGTCCAGGAGGCACTTCAAGTCCACAGTCAAGTCTGAACTCTTCACTGCTGGCCTAGCTTGCTCTTGCCGTAGTTTTTACTATCACTTAATGGTTGCTTCAGAACAGAAACTTAGGAACCATTCTTAGCTTCCTTATTTCTTTTGCTTCCTACCACCCATTCCATCTCTTCCTTCAAATATGCCTGACCCATTTCTCTGTCTTCATCACCATCAGACCGCTCTGAGCCACTGTCTCATGAACTCCTGTGGTGACCTCCTTCTTCCACCTTTACCGTCCAGTCAGCTCTTCGGACGGCAGTCACGTGGCCTGTAATGTACCAGATCACATGGCTACTCTAAACCATCACTAGCTTTTATCTTCCTACAGGTGAAACCCAGTCTCACCATGGCTTATAAAGGTCTGTGTCTTTTGGCCTCCAGTTAAACCTGTTAAACCATCCTGTTTCTCTCAGCTTACCCTCCTCTTGCCTTCCTGTGGCTTCCCCCTGGGACCTTTGTCCTTGCTCTTCTCTCTCCTTTGTTCAACTTCCTTCCAGATAATGCCACGGTTTGCTTCATGACTTTCTTCAGGCTTTGCTCAAATGTTACCTTATGAGAAACTTTCTTTGACGATACTATCCAGAAGATTTTACTTTATTTTTGTTCATAGCATGTTCTACCACTTGAGATACTGCTTATTTCCTGGCTCCTGGAACATGAGAACAGTGAATTTGTTTTGTTTTCTGTAGTGTTCCCAGCTGTTAGCACAGTACCTGGTATATTATAGGTGCTTAGTTAATATCTAGTGAATGAATGAATATACGTGTTTTAATATTAGTAGATAATGTTTTCTCTCACCAGGTACCAGGTCATCAGTACACCATCTGATATTTTCATGGTGATGGAATATGTCTCAGGAGGAGAGCTATTTGATTATATCTGTAAAAATGGAAGGGTAAGCAGTTCTGATTTAATCCTGTATATGTTTTGTAATCTCCTTATCCCTTACTAGCATCACAATGCCAGAAAGCAATTTTAAGAGACCTATTTAGGAACAAGTTTTTTTTCATACTCAGTAAGTGCCCAATTTAGGAACATCTGAATTCCCAGCATTCGCAGGTGTACTGTGTTTAAGACTCCCTTGGTTGGCTTACCAATGGATCTGATCTGTGAATAGTTGTCCTGGAGTGAAACTCATTCACAATTCAGGGACTTACTGTCTTTTTTTAGGATCATGGACTATTCATAGCTAAAAGGACTTTAAAAATGATCGCCTTAGTCTGCTAACACGTGGTAGATACTCAGGCTTTTTGTGTATATATTTTCTTAATCTTGTTAATCTTAACATGATTCGTCAGTGGTAACTGGATTGAGGCGCTAGACTAGTAATCAAACTCACAATTTTGCTATCTGTGACTACTTTTAATATGTATCTTGAAGTATAAAATTAGTCCTTT